CCCTCCCCCTCTCTCCAGAAAAAAGTTTGGCATTAAAATTCTTTTACATCTCCCCAAAGTTGACCTCCTATTTACTGCTCTGACGATGACTAATACTAAAAGAACTTTTGAACTAAAGCAAATAACAAAGTGTTAATTAGTTGATATTTTTCGTCTATTTTTTAATGTCATCAATGTCTCCAGACTAAGAATCATATAAATTACTTGCATTCTATATATAGTATCAGATAAACTAATATAACTTGATCGAAAATTCTTTCACTCATGAAAAAATGACAGTTTCGGTTTCGATCAGATATCGATTCTGTCACAAAAACAAAAGCTCAGATTAGTATTCTTTTCTTATTGATCAAACTTGTTATTGAAAACATCGACATAGTCTGTGATCTAACTAACATTTCGTTTATTATAGAGTATGAAAGGATATTTCATAGACCGTGTAATTGATATCGTTGGTTAAAAAAAAAACTAATTAATTGAATTTTTATTTTTTGTATCAACATATCGAATAATTATACGAAGGATGATGGATAAAAAAATAGCAAAAAGTAATTCAGATGAAAACTAGAGTAAACATAAAAAAATCATTAAATGAAAGTTTCCAATTGTTAACATTATATTTCGTGTGTTCATCTTCAGTTTATTAATCACAAAGAACTTAACAAATGCACACAATTAGTTATTAATAATTTGTCTACTGTAACATCAATATCATTTTAACTAATTTAAAGAATTACGGATATTAGTTTAATAGTAAGTATGTTAGACTATTTAGATCCGTAATTAGATTTAAGGGGCATCATGCCCCTACACAATTTTGACCTTAAACTTTATGATTTTATAGAATACATCAAAATATTCGGAATATTTTAGATTTTTAAAACAAATTTCGATGGGAATTTTGAATTTTCTAAGTTTTACTTTTAATTAAAATATTGATTACTGTGTATTTTATTCTGAAAAATTTTGGTATAATCATTTTAGTGAGAAATTCTAGTTTTCTTACATAATCATTCTAAAGGAAAACATTGGAAACAAATAATTTTTTCCAATTTCTAATTAATTAGCACTTATTAACATCATTATGTAATACCATAGAGTCATCTTTGGTACATTATTTTCCGCAAAAAGTTAAAATATGAAAGAAATGAAACCGATGTTATTTATATCAACATTTAAGCGCTAAAATTTAGTACATACATTATTAGTTTCGATCTGAATTTTAGGAAAAATCAAAGTTCGGATTTCGATAGTCAAGTATGATATACACTTTCTTATTACACAAGAGAGTTTATGTCTAAAACGAAGAAAAACGGACAATATAAATAGGCGAGTCATAGATTATCGACTATTGTCTGTTTAAAGAAACGATGTTCTCCATCATTTTTCGAATAACTTTTGATAGAAAGCAGCTAGAGAGCTCCGATTATCGTCATTCGAAAGAAAAGACTTGGGATATGTTTCCATATACAGACATTTTTCAGAAGGAGTCTCAAAAACAGGTTTTCTACAGGACGGACTAGAAGTTCTCAAGCCAAAAATATACAATAATTTCTTCTATTGCCGTAAACCTATGTAAACAGAATTTGTTTTGGTGACTTTTGCATTTGAATGTGCTCTATCTGAATATGTCATCAGAATCATATAGATCGTCTTTATTTGTGTCAAAACAATATTTTGAAAAAAAAAGGAAAATCACAGGGTTTCGATCCTTTTTCTATTGAAGTTTTCTACTTTTCTATTAATATCAAATGAAGAACAGGTAAATGGTCCGCTATCGTTCACGTTTTTATTAAAATTCCAATAGAAAAGGATCGTTGCCTCTTTCTTTTTTTTCAAATCTGATTTTTTTTCAAATATTATTTTAACACAAATAAAGAAGATTTCTATCAAAAGTTATTCGAAAAATGGTTGAGAGCATGCTATTTTTAGGCGAACAATACGCCGAATCGCATGGCTATATTTGTTTTCGGACGAATAGTAAAAAAAATCTGGTGAAAATTTGTATTAGATGAAATAAACCATTCTGGGCTATTTTAATGAAAAACAACTCATAACTCAGTTAAAATTGATCCAAACTACTTCGAAACATCAGACAATGCTCCGTTTTATCTGTCCAATGTAATCCTGTACTTGAGAACTCTTAGTTCCTAAGATTTTTAAACCTTTTCAAAAATCCTAGTACTTTTATTAAACTTTAGCATTCGAGATAAAATGCAGTATATCTTGAAGTTCTGAAGTAATCTGCATCAATTTTGACTGAATTATGAATTTTCTAAGTTTTTGTAAAAGTCATCAAACACAGATTATTTCATCTGATACTGGTTTTCAGAATTTTATTCTGAAGACAAACATTATCATGCGAGTTAGGGCAACTAATAACCTGAGGACCAAGTGTTTTGAGGTTCGCACTAGAGATTTTATACTAATCCTGGAGCTTTGAGAAAGTTCTGTTCAACCTTTGAATCATTAAAAATGGAGATTGCGCTTGGCAATGAGAGCCATGAGTCATTGTGTAGAGCTCACTTTAGACTATTATTCAGTGAAGAAAACCGAAGATATTTTTATTTCTGATTTTTATGATACGAACTCTGTTTCTAAAGATTCTTTAACAGTCTGGCTCTGGAAAAAGATTTTTAAACTTATTTTTTTACGCCGAAATCTTGACTATCGAGTGTTGAAAACCGCAGATCTATATGTGAAAACTTATTCAAAAAATATTTATGGTTCTTATGTGCAAATGATAAAATGGTCATTAGCAGCATGTTCAGTCTTGCGAAATAAATCTCATCAACGAAGAATTTTCAAACATTGTTCTTAGAATAGAAAAATGTTCAGCATGATGAGTTTTTTTGTGCAAAAAAAAGTATTCTAAAAGTTATCGAACTATAATAAATTGAAATAAACTGAAAATTTTATTTGATTAAATTGACTATTATTCCGTAACGAGAAAATTTTATTTTTTTCATAAAACCTCAAAAATCTATCATTTATCATACTGAACAATTTTTTGTTTTAAGAACAATGTTTAAAAATACTTCATTGGTGAAATTTACTTCTCAAGAATTTTTTGCTAAATTTAAATTTAATAATTTAAAAATCTAAAAAGCTTCAGAATATGTGTAACTTGATGTGCTCTTCAAAACAGTAGAATATGAGAACATTTTTGAAAGGAGAAACCTTTCTTAAAGATATTTCATAAATAGTTTGGCGTTGACATTCCGGACAAAATTCATTTTATTATTCTGTTTGTAAAACAGAAGATCGACAGCTGAAATTTCGCCATCGGAATTCCACCATTGTCGTTTTTACTCAACATTTTTGACAAATTGTCGAAAGTCAAATCTGATTTTTGACATTGTCGAATTTCACGTTGTTTTTAGGTATAGCCGTAAGTCCTTATAATTTCGGCAATTGTCAAAAATCCGTCGGCATTTCGACAAATTACTAAATGTTAGTAAAAGTAGTTCAAGTGGCACAATATCAAAAACTTCGTCATATAATGTTCACACTTATCTCAAGCAATAGATTAAAACAGAATCAGTGAACTGCAGTCTTCTTCTAATAATTCACAAATGAAAATAAAATGACAAAATAAAACTTTTCTTTTCTCTTTTTCAAATACAGATTCCACAGAGGAACCAAAAAAAATAGAGTTTCTGTATCTCACAGCAATTGAACTGTGACAAACAAAAAATCACACAAATTACAAAAATACAAGAATAGACAGATTATAGATTATAAAAACATCGTGTATTATTTTATTATTATGCCCGGTGTATACTATTAAAAATTTCACTTCAAGTGCAACTGAAAATTACTCTCGAAATTCCGTGAGATTTTCGACAATTGTTCGAAGTTTCATTGTAAATACAACAATATGAAGAAAATCATATCGATTTTCGACAATTGTCGAAATTGTTGGCGGCTTTGCTCTATATATTCGACAATACTGCGAAAATTCGTCGGAATTTGAACTGTCGAAATTCCAGCTGACGATATTCTAGGATATCGTTCTGTTAAACAACGAGTCAGAGATGGGCACGTCTAACTCATGACTGAGACTGAGTCAGGACTGATGGATTCTTTTTCGAGACTGAGACTTGACTGAGGCTGATGGCTTCGTGACTGAGATTGACGATTTTCTATACCGTGGCTGATTGTTTGAAAATACGACTGACTTTTTTTTAAATAGAAAGTGAGAGAAAAACAGAAAGAGTAAGCAGAAAGACAAATGAAGATGAAATGAAAAGAAAAGTCTAGATGTTATCAAAAAAGAAGATATAGTGGCAAAAAATGAATAACTATACATAGTGAATAAAGAAATACGTATATGATGTATAGTCTACTATGTGGTACTGGTAACAGGGAAAGTAAAAGAAAAATGTCAAATCTATAGTCGAGTTTATATATATATATATAATCGAAAATCGATAAGAAACTGAGTAAGGTTCCTCTTCTGCGATCTTAGCTTGAAAATATTAATAACTAAAGTTAGAAAGGTTGTTTGCTCCTTTTCTCACTCTGATATCTTCAAGTTCAGTGTACTTCAACTCTTACACTGTTAAAATGTAACTTTAAATTTCTCGATATTAGAAATATTTCTGTACCTTCTTTTTTTTTTTAAACACTAAGACTTCTGTTAAATACTACAATCAAAATAATAAAAAAAAGAAGAAAAATAGGCAAGTCTAAGTCGTGACTGAGACTGACTCACGACTGATGAGCTTTTTCTCTAGACTGAGACTGATGGCTTCGTGATTGAGATTCGACTGAGACTGATGATTTTCAACAAAAAAAATGACTGAAACGTGACTGAGACTGATGACTGCGTGGCTAAGACTAGAGAAGTCGTGACCTGCCCATCTCTGCAACGAGTAAAAAAGTTATTTAGTTTGAATCATGCATCATGAATTTATGATAAACTGATGGTTGATGGTGTTGTGTTTTTGGCGCTTGAGTATATCATCAAATTAAATATTTCACGATTAACTTTTACAATGAATCGCGTGAAAAAAGATGTAGTCAAATATATTTCACATCCGATTATTTCTAAAAATTCAGATTTAGTCTATATAAATGATTGGGGTCATACTATCATTATATCCGCTCATCAATTAAACGAATATTATCATACACTATTAGGAAATCCATTTTTACGTCTAAAATATTTAGATCCAATAACACAACAATATAATTTTTATCGAACACGTGGTAAAATAAGATCTCATTACATAATTTCTAGAATTTTTTATGTAATTTTATTTTTCGTAGGTATTATGAGTTACATCATCACATATTATGTTAGAAAAGGTTCTTTAACAACTGATACCAATTATCCACCAGAAATATTATATGATGAACTCGTATTTTTTGGTTTTAATCAATTAATGATCTATCAAATTATTTCGAATATGATCAATAATATTATTTACATACCAAGTGGTACAAATACACATTAGAGAAGCTATTTCTTTTTTTTTAATATTTATAATTAATAAATTTTTATTTTAAGGTAAATATCGTCGTTGTTTATGGTTTATTTATGATTATCATGAACATATCAATATTCATCATTTTTCACTTAGTCATATTCTTTCGACATTAGTTTCAATATGTTCAGTTATATCTTCATTGGTTCTAATAGAATTACAATGTATTCATGAAAAATTAAATGATAAATCATCATCAATATTAAAAATATTTACTACATTATCAATGACACTAATCGCTGAAATTTTCATTTTAGTCTATTTTAATATGGAAGTATTAATACGTACTCTAATACGTCCTTTAAAATTTCTTAAATTTAATATAACACCGTTATTATTTCTCATCAATTTATGTGCTATATTTCCATTTGCTTTGTTTCTATTTATTTCACATTATTCGAATTTACGTCGTATAGTCATGCCCGAATGGTTGTACATATTTATTGTATTTCAAATGGGATGTCGAATATTTCGTTTAATTCAATTTTCTACACATGGTTATGAACTTGTTAGAGAATTAACCTATCGTTCAAGTGTCTATTTTTGTCCAATGAGATCCATGACATTAATTGTAATTATTTTTGCTTTGTTCGTATTAGCCTGTGAACAAGTTCCACATTCTGAAACATTTTATTTCTTTTCAAATAAAACCAAAATACGATCATTTATTGAAATTATTTGGTTATCAATGAATTCGTATACGTCATTGGGTGAAGGTGATATACGACCAACAAGTCTTGGTGGAATGATAGTAGAATTTTTTAATTGTTTTTTGGGTATAATAACGATACCACAATTTGCACAATTGACATTTTTAGTAGCATCAAATACAATTGATCGAAGAGCAAATTGTGATAAAAAATTAAACGAGAAACACTTAGTTTTGATTGAAGATGAATACTCGAATAGAGCCATTGCACAAATTGAAAAAGATTCTTACTTACCAGAAGTATTAATTGAAGCAGAAGCCGATTAAAAGAAATCGAACAATAAAATATACTGTCTTAAAACTTATAGAAACATCTCATATCTTCCGATCAAAACTATGAATATTTTAAGAAAATATAACTTGCCATTATCAAAAATTCTACTTATTCACAAAAGCAAATAAGAAAAAAACAAAATGAATAAAAAAATGAACATGGACCGTCACGTTTCAGATATCAAGCGTACATCTCATGTATCAATATAGAACCTATATTATGTCATACACGAATAAGGCTGAAAAGAAACAGCAAGTCGATTCCGTCATGTTAAAGTACTTAGAAACTTGTAGAAATTTAGGAATTTTTTGATCGTCTGAAGAATCTCAAAACTTACTACACATAGTTTCTTGTCTGAATAAATCTGTTTGGTACATAGATCTGCAACATATGTTTCTGCACATACTCATCGGATGTGCAATGATCGATTAATTATAGGCTTTTGAGTTTAGATAACAGATATTGAAGGAACTCTACCATTTTCAATGAGGAATTTTCTTCTTTTTTGTTTTGCGTTTTTCTCAAAAACTACTTTTTTCCTACCATGCTTCATTATTTCACCTTCCCCTAAATTTCATCCGGTCGACTTAAAAATTGTACCTGAGGTACTCAAGTCACTATCGCAGAAGATAAGATAAGATTTTTATTTACTCAAGAGAGCAGAATATCACAAAAAGCTTGTGACATCCGTGGATACCCTAAAACTAAAAATTTAGAATTTAGAAGTATTTTTGTTTAATTTTATTTAAACCTTTATTTATCAAGTTATACGGTTCTTCTAAAATTGAAAAACTTGGTTTTTGAGACGTTTTTCAGTATTTTTCTTAAAACTCGACAAGGAATGATCTTAAACAAAATCCCCAAAAATACCTCTATGATATTATGTTAAGCACCTATGGTACATTTTTGGGCTCCATCAGATGAAATTTAAGGGTTTATAATGCAACGCAATGAAAAATCGAGTTTTCTAGGAAAGTTGTTCCATAATAGCTGAAAACTTGGAACAAAAACGAAAAAATGTTCCATTGAGTTTCAAATCATTTCTAAAAATATGAAGCATTAGTCATTTTTAGTTTTTATTTGACAGCATTTCTACGGAAAGTCCAAAGTCCAAAAAAGAGGGAAGGGTAACCCTTAAATCTGGTAATGTGGATAAGACTCTATCTTCATTACTAGGTGATATGAATTTAGATGCAAAACACCGTCACATTAAACTCTCACTTATTATTTGGGAGATCAAGATCACCATACTTTGGATGAAATTGAACAATTTTCTTGGAAATTCTTCTGACGATAACGTTATTTGTATATCATAATAACATGTTCGGCCGATAGCCATACGAAAATAGTGAAGACGTCATCTCTTACATTGTCATTTTAATAACAATTTTAAAAAGATGTCTGTAAACATTTAATGTAGATGTCTAGTATTAACTTTGTCTTACATTATGTTATTTTCTCGTGTTGTTGATGATGACCTGCATTTTTTTTTTAACAATAATCTCGTTATCATAATTCAAACAATGACAAGATGAAAAGAATTCATAGCATATATAAACAGCAGAATTACAAAAATAAACTATTAGCTACTGTTTTCACTTACATACACGCCAAAATATCACTCATCAGCAATGAAAGTAATTATCGCATTAGTATTAATGTTTGCTGCTGTTTATTCAGCACCAACATTTGATTCATCATTGGAAGAACTATGGAATTTATTCAAACAAGTTCATGCCAAAGATTATTCAGTTGCAGATGAACAATATCGGTAAGTACTTTATTTGGTTGAAAAACAATTATTAACAATTATCTATTTTGTACGAACATATAGACGTGGAATTTGGGAAGCAAATGTTGCCAAAATTAAAGTGCACAACTTGGAAGCCGATCTCGGTCTTCATACATACACACTGGGAATGAACAAATATGGTGATATGGTAAGTTGAATTTAAAACGTATCTTCCATTATTAGTTTGACATTGTGTGCACATTATAGACAAATCAAGAATTTGTTAAACAAATGAATGGTTTAAAATCCTCTCGTCGTCCAGTTGATACTGAAATTGATCATCACACATTTGTTGCACCATCAAACATCGAAATTCCAGCAGCTGTTGGTAAGCTTGATCTCTCTCGTTTGTATTAAATAAGAGTAACATTATGTTTTTCTTCCAGACTGGCGTAAACAAGGTTACGTCACACCTATTAAAGATCAAGGACAATGTGGTAAGTAGTCATTGTATAAATTTACTAAAAAAAAATTCTTAGCAATAACCTTCTTTTGTAGGATCATGTTGGGCATTTAGTGCAACCGGTTCATTAGAAGGTCAACATTTCAAAAAATATACCGACCTCGTTTCCCTTTCTGAACAAAATTTAGTTGATTGCAGTGGTAAATTTGGCAATATGGGATGTGATGGAGGTTTAATGGATCAAGCTTTTTCATACATCAAAGCTAACAAAGGAATTGACACAGAAAAATCGTACCCATACGAAGCACAAGATGGCAAATGCCGTTTCAAACCAGCTAACGTTGGTGCCAATGATACAGGTGAGAATGTTTTCATATTTATTGACACTTAATCATATTAACACTATTTCTTGTTTTACATTAAGGATTCACGGATATCAAAAGTGGAAGTGAAATAGATTTAGAAACAGCCATTGCAACCGTTGGACCTATCTCAGTAGCTATCGATGCCAGCGCAGATTCATTTCAACTTTACAAGTCAGGTGTCTACAATGAACCCGAGTGCAGTTCAACAGAATTAGATCATGGTGTTTTAGCTGTGGGTTATGATACAACAGCGAAAAAACAAGATTATTACATTGTCAAAAATTCATGGGGTGAATCATGGGGTAATCAAGGTTATATCTGGATGAGTCGTAATAAGAAAAATCAATGTGGAATTGCCACAATGAGCTCATATCCACTTGTTTAAAATAATGGATAAAATAGCAGAACTTGAAACAATTTTGTTTTTCTACTTATACACTACAGTGTACGTTTTGATATCTATTAACATTCAATAAAATTTCAACATCTGTGATAATACATAGATCTTTTAACGTGAAATGAACTAAGATAGATACGCGTGTATCGGTTTTGTTCTTAAACTTTCATCCTAAGAAAAATAGATCTTTTTTTCATTCAACAGAACATATAACATCAAATATACAATAAAATATCTGTTTGATACTAATAATATCAAAAAAACAACTAAAAAATGTCTTATCTTACTTCTACAAATAAAATAAAAACATTCATACAGATCCAGTTACAAGGGTTTCTATTGAATAAAAATTAATTGTCCAAAAAGAGAACAATAAAAATAACATTTTTTGGAATGAAATAAAAAAAAGTGTACTGTACACAATGACCAGAAAAAAAACAATAAATAAATGACTACACAATAAATAGTAAATAAAAAATGATAATATCAAAAGGCGACATAAATATGATCAACTCCAAAACATAAGTAGTAAAAATATATATGCAAAAATAGATGCTTCGAAGACTTTTATCATTCAAAACAATCATTCTCTGATGTTCAAACATAGTCAGACTGTAGAAATCAACAACGAAGGTCTGCTAATATGCAAAATAATGAAAAAAATGAACGAATAAATAAAACAACTATACTGATACAAAACCGTCGTTTCTTCCCGCTTGAGGAAAAAATGATTTTTTAGTGAACGGACAAAAAAATAGGAGAAACATTTTCAGAAGTTATATACTAATTCAATATGGATTTGAGCGCTTCTCATTTATACTGCATTTCTCGTAATGAAACGTTAATTAATATTCAGCAGATCAACATCTTCTTTGGTGTTTTGTGTTTGATCTATTCCGTAATCATTTTCATTTTCCTCGCCTACATATTCTTCTTCCTCTTCATCATCTTCCTGACCGTTATTTGTTAAATGTTTCATTGTTGGTAGCGTGAGATCAACTTCAATTGGGAATATGTCGGCTTCTTTCATTGTTTCGTAACAATCTTTATGATATTTGTCTAAAGCGGTTATGAATCGATGTAATTGAAACACAATATCTTGAACTAAAATGAGAAGATCAGTCCAAAATAGTGAAAGTAAGAAACAGTTTATAATAACTGTTAGAAAGAAACAAATACGTATATGAACTTTTAGTGTGTACGATCTGAATGTTTAAAATTTATAATCACTAATTTATTTTTATCGTCATTCATCTAATAATGTCTCGAAATCTAGTAGTTTTCAGTGATCTTTCTAAAAGACTTCTCAAGATGCCTACCATGTTTCTGATCAAGTAATTCCAATTTGACCAGCACATCGACACGTAGTTTAGCAAAACGTTCGCGTGCCAATTGTCGACAACGTAATATTAATCTAAATATAAAATAAAAGATAATATCATATCACGCTTATTTTCACGAACCAAATTACAATTAACGTTAAATCCATTGAAAGTCATTCTAGTGCAATTATTTTAGTCTATAATTGATAAACAGTAGCTCTTCTATTCGAAAAACAAATTCAGCATCAAAATTACGTACTGAATTTCAGAATGAAATGCATAAAAAAGCAACGATCTACAATGTTTCGCTTTTTCAATACAGAAACATTTGTTAGTCATCGTAGTCCGACAAACAAAAAAGAACACTTGATAACTTAAAAAATGATGGTATTTCTAAGAAATTTTTTTTGTGCTGTGATCTATCTAATACATTTTTTAGACTCGAAGACCTTGTGCATGACTCAAAATTCTAGAGTAAATGAATTTCTCTCAGCAGTACATTAATAAATGGCAAAATCGATCTTTTTCTCACCTATATTCATAATTTCCTGTTTCAACACGATATAATGGTTCTTGCA